TTGTGGAGCTCCGAAAGCCACCCATCCCAGACTCCCACCCTTAGCAATGATGATTGAATGGATCTGGAGGATAGCCTGGCTTTGGAGAGTTTAACAATGGCCCCCAGTAATTCAAATATGCAGACACTTCTGGACACGACCCTTGCAACATCATTTATTATCTCTCCTTTAGCTAGAATATTTAAAAGCCATTTCCTTATTGGAAATAAGAGTCACTATTTGGTTAGTGAGTAAGTTACTTACTTGTCACATTTTTATATAGTTCTTCAAAACAATAGCCTTCAAAATAGTTCTTCAAGCAATAATCTCCTACCGTAGCAGCGGGCATAAACGGTATGTCCTGTAAGCACCGTGGAGACCTTCGTCGGTAGCTGAGCACTGGCAGCTGCTACCTGAAATGTTAGGAGTTCACATTCACTTAGAAGCTCCTTGGAGGAGAGTCTTGGACATGTGTTCCCCACCCACTGCACCCCCAAAAATCCACCAGTACAAACTAGATGGAGCATAGTTCTACTCTGGCACCTATCACCTAAGGGTCGCCAAGAATCCCCTGCTTTTTGGCCTTGTTGTTTTAAAGAGCCTTAGATATTTTTACGTGGGAAACCAGATGCTCAATAATTATATGGATCAGAATTGTGTCATGGGCTATGCGATGAGCTGCTAGCCACCGAATTGTATGGACCCGTTATGATCCCTGTAATCAACAGATATTTATGAGCACAAACCAGGAACTGTTCAAGACACAGAGTACCCCCACAAAGGAAACATCCCTAGTTGTAGAAACTTAAATTGTAGTGTAGGGACACTACTTCCAACAAGTCATCCGATGGCTTTGGAAACTGGTGAATGCTGACAAGGAAAGTAAAGATGAACAGAGAGGGGATGAGGGCCCACAGGCGGAGGATAGTTGCAGGGTGCTAAAAGGCTCCCTCTGGAAGGAGTGACTATTGAATTGCCTTAGGGAAGGAGGAAGGCGCTCTCCACAGAGCAGCAACAAGACAGGCTCATGTTGTCAGAACAGCCGAAACAAAAACTGGACTGGGAAGAAATGCCTGGTTATCTGAGAAGTAGCAGCAGGAGGCTAGAATCGCAGAATGAAAAGCGATAGAAGATGAGATCAGAAAGGCACGAGCCAGCCCATCGGGGCATCACTTTGTAAGTCACAGCAAATTTGCTTTGGTTCTCTTTTTCTTTTTTCCCTCCCAAGTGTCCTTCTATAAAGCCATTGGAGACTTTCCTTGGTAAGTGACATGACTTAATTTACATGTAAAGAGATCAATGTTGGCTATCCTATGGACAGTACATTACATGAAAGCAAGGGGGCGTCAGGAGATAGGAATGTAGAGCAGTGGTTCAAGCAGGAATGGACAGTGGAAAGAAGCAGCAAGTGAGAGGGTGAATGGCCTGAAGTGTAAGTTGTGTTAACAGTGTCATACAAAAGGATTCGCTGATGGAGTTTTGCTGATAGAACAAAGTTTATACAGATAGGTCATCGAAAAGAGAGTCAGAAAAGGGTTTCAGGATTCTAGGTGAAAGTTAGAATGAAAGCAGTAATTAGTGATCCTAATGTAAAATCGTCACCTGCAAGAGTTACCGATGAAGAGCCCAGACAACAGCCTGGATGACACCTCAGTGCTAATTGGACAGACCCGCACAATGGAATTAGCAAGAGCACAATACACAGGAAAAAGATGGAAATTGCCAAGATTTCATATTACTTGAATCCACAAGAGAATGCCCATGAATGCGGCAGTCAAGAAATCAAATGCGTTATGGTATTGGTTAAATCTGCTACTAAAGATCTCTTAAAGGTATTAAAAATCAAAGACGTCATTCTGACACCTAAGGGCACTGACCTAAGCCATGGTATTTCATAGGGCTTTGAACTCATTCATTCTGGTTCGACCCTCTGCTGAGGATTCCCATCTCTACTTCGGGCATCCTTATCATCGTCTATAGAAGAATCGCCGGGAGATCTTGTTAAAATGTTGGTTGTGATAAGTGTACCCGAGGAGTTTGTTGTTGTGAGATGCCATCAAGTTGGTTCTGACTTCTACAGTAGAAAGGCAAATTCTCAGGGCGTCCAGCAAAGCCCTGGTCTTTTCAGTCTCCTTATATACATGAGAAGCTGGGCACTGGTTAACGAAAACTGAAGAAGCACCGATGCCCTTGAATTTTGAATGTATTAGTTTGGGTACTTTAGAGAAACAAATCCACAGAAACTCAGATGTATAAGAGAAAGTTTTATATAAAGGGTAAGTGCACATCAAGAAAACATCCCAACCCAGTGCCGCCCAAGCCCACAAGTCCAACATGAGCCCATATGTCCGACACCAACCCACAAAGTCCTCCTCCATCTCACAAAACACACGTAATGATGCCGACTTCAGGAGGAAAGCCGAATCAGTGAACGTGTAAGCATCTCAGCACTGGCAGGGTTCTCCACATGGCTACTCCAGCACCCAGGGCTTCATTGGGGTAGGTCCATACGGCTTCTCCTCAGGGATGTTTTGCAGGCAGTGAGCCTTGCCAGCTGAAGCAGGGAACTGGCTAAGGCAGCTGCACCTTGGTCCGACCATCAGAAAGCAAGAGACCCGAGAACTAGAAAGGCAAGGCTCACCGAGCCATTTATCGCTCCACCCTTCAATTAACCCCACATGTGTTTATTGGCCAGGTTAGCACAATAAACTAACTATATCAGTAAAGAATATTGACTTCCAGAGATTGAACAAATCTGGTTTGCAAGAAGTACAGTCAATTGGTCTTTATAAGCAAGGATCCAAAGACTTCATCTTACATAGTTTGGACATGTTACTAGGAGGGACTGGTTCCTAGAGAAGGCCATCATTGTTGATAAAGTAGAGGGGCAGTGAAGACCTTCAATGAGATCAACTGACAGATAGACACAGTGGCTCCAACCGTGGGCTACACCATAGCCATGACTGTGAGGATGGTGCAGGACCAGGCAATGTTTAGTTCTTTTGCAAGTAGGGTGGCTATGAATTGAAACTGACCCATGACACTGAACTGTAGCAGTAACAACATACAAATTAGTTCCTATGTAACAGAGACAATACCTAAGCCACTCACATATTTCTATGAGACAGGAAAAAAAAAGTTTTCCCTAACTTTGGAAACCTCAATTTTCCTGCTTTTTCTTTAGATCCAGGCTGTGTCTGACTTAAAATCTTGAGGACATCAAATCACTAAAATGAGAGACTTCAAAGCAACTATCTCTATGAAATGGCGATAGGCATAGTAGCAAATTCAGTTTTTTTATTACAACTATGAATAATTTGCTTGTTTTTTCATTTACTTACATATGCGGATCAGTGGGGATTCTTCTAATGCTGTGGCATGAGGTGGTGTGTTTATCTTGTATAAACTATGTGACCAGGACATGTTTGTTATTGAACTTCTCTCTCTCCTGTTGTTTGCTCACCCAATAATGGGTGAGATAAAAGTACCAATTCCCTAGGATTATACTCACTGCTATCAAGTTGATTCCATCTCATAGCAACCCTGAAATACCAGGTAGAGCTGTAAGTGTGGGTTTTCCAGACTAACATGTTGCCAGGAGTAGGAGAACTCATCTTTCTTCCATGTACCGTCTAGTGGTTTCAAACTGCTGACCTCAAGGCTAGCAGCCAAACTCATAGCCCACTATACCACAGAAAGAATAGATGAAGGCATAATACTTAGTCCATAAGCACTATTTTGTAAATACTGTAAACAATAATTTATGAACTTTAGCTTTTTTTCCACGCTCCTCCATTCCCATTTGATCAGGTTATATGGAACATAACTTTATGATCGATCTAATGCCAATTGACTAGGCTGCCCAATAAGACTAGGATTTCAATTCATCCAACTCAGAAATAAAATCCCATAAGATGTTTGCTTATATCTAAGAGACATAGCTTTCCTTTTGACTAAGCAATTTGTTTGCTAAAGACAACTAGTTTAGGAATAGGATTAGGAAACTATTAAGGGATAATGGAAGAAAAAAATCCAGCAATTAATATTTGAAAATTAAGCTATTCAGCTTTTCTTAATAGCCTTTACTTCATGTTAGTATATTTTTATTTTATTTTATTGGGGGCTCTTACAGATCTTTGAAAGAACTGAAAGAAAATTTGATTTCAGAAATATTGTCAAGCAAAATAATTGTTAAAAAGGACCCAAAGTGAAAATGTCAAGAAAAAGAGTAAAATTTGACTCACGGGTAAAAATGGATCTGGTAATTATCTATTTTGCTCTCAGAATCAGATTGAATAATTAAGTCAAATTTGGGGTCCCTGTGTAATTCAATATGATTCTTATATGGATCAATTAAGTGAATAATACCTAACCCTTCATTTTATGATTGATAATAGAATATGACAGCTAATATTTTCTAATAATTCTCCAATTCAAATTCTGAAAATTTACCTGATTCAAGAATGTAAATAAGCAAATTAGACAAGACCCCTTGTTTTTTAACCTGTTATTCTGAACTAAGGTAGATACACCTCATACCTTGAACCAGACGAAGCACTGAGGTTGCTTGGTCGCTAAATAAGCAATGGGCTCACAAAATAATAACTAACCCCTAACTACGGCGCTTCCATAAAATCACCTGTATGCGACCAATGGTCGACAGTTAGCTTAACACAAAGGTGAGCGTGCCAGTGGTCCGGGAAGCTCGAGTATTGGCTCTAGAACAATTAGAATGGAAATGAGAATGAACACACCTTGTAAAAAGGTTATCTGTGTCCCAGAACTATTTTTGGTAAAAATTGGTGAATGGGAATCTAAATTGCTATGTAACTCTTCATGAAAAATACATTAATATTTTCCTTAGAAAGGAAAATCTTTAATACTAATGGACTCAAAATCATTATATCATCTGTTCATGATCCTGGTATTGTTATTTTGTTAGCATCCATCAACTAATAGGATTGTACCTGTTGTATAAACTGTGTTGTTTTAGATTCGTTGGTTTTTCTTTCGTTTCGCAGCTGGTCTAAGTCCGGCTGAGATCCAACAGCTGTGGAAAGAAGTGGCTGGAGTCCACAGTGTGGAAGACAGTGGCAGTAAACACGGAGGGCTGGACCTCACTACTAACAATTCCTCCTCGACTACCTCCTCCACCACTTCCAAAGCTTCGCCACCAATAACGCATCATTCGATAGTGAATGGACAGTCTTCAGTTCTAAATGCAAGACGAGACAGGTAAACCGCATAACGCTTATGCTGTATCAATCAACCTATAACCAAATTTTACTTAAATCATGGATTTAAAAAATGGGGGTGGTGGTACATATATGCAGTGGGGAAATATGTAAAAACTACAAATCAAATAACCTTTAGCTTATATGCTCTTTTTTATTATAAAATAAAGTTGAAATGATAGCCATTTAATGTGTACAGTTAGGGAGTTTGCCTAAAGAAATTTACTTTTTAACCAGTGCAATTGGGCTGATTGTGTAAATATATTTTGAACGACTATGCTATTATGATTGATCTTACTATTAGGAGAACAGTTTACCATTGCTCAAGCCAAGAGTCAGTCTTTTAATGGCATCTATTTGAAAATGGATCATGTTCACGTAATCAATGCCTCAAATTTTAACAAAAGAAGACGAAACTCACTGCCTTCAAATTGATTTCGACTCCTAGCTACCCTGCATAAGGTTTTCAAAGCTGTTAAGTCTTCACCTGAGCTCAGAGCCTCCTGATTCTCCCTTGGCGTGGCTGGTGGATTTGAAACCTTGACCTTGTAGTTAGCCCCCAAAGACTTACCTGGCAGCACAACCAGGGCTCCTCATTTCAAATATATGCTTAGAAATCAGAGAACGGATACGTGTATATGTACATATGTGCATATGTAGCTGTATTTATATCTACATGTCTATATCTACATGTATAAACAGACATAATAAACTGGAGACATAAGAGCTGCAGTGCTTGATTGTTGCCGCATGATGAGATTTGTAAATTTATGACAATAAACTTATAGTGGTAACTATTGAAATCAATTTGACCCCAAATTCATAAAGAAATACATTTTGATCAATTGTTAACATGGAGTAGATTAGGTTAGATAAGTTTTCAGCGTAGCGTTTTATTTAGTTGTGTAAAATCAGCCTCTGTCAAAAGTGACCAGTGAGTTTTTGTCCATTTCATGGTGTTTATCAGGTTTGTCACTACGTAATCAAATCTTTTAAGACAATTTAAATAAACTGTGTAAGTCCTAATATCGCCCAGCATGAAAAATATATTTCTGAAGAGATAAAATATTAATATAAAATTTGTTAACACATAGCTCAGCCTCATATTATACAAAGCTCTTAACTTCCTATGTCAGTCTAGGGGATTGGCAGTGTTATGTAACATGAACGCTCTGTCTTCCTAGCTGTTACAAAGCCTTCTCATAAACAAATAATTTTTCAAAGAAACCTATTTAATTTCAGCATACTTTAAAATAGACTGCTGTAATTTGGCCTTTATGAGAGTATCATGGAAACTTTCTCGTTCGGTGCCATTGTCATGAAAGGGAGTGCCTTTCAGTGGGTTCATGCTGCTGTTTACGTTGAGATTGCGTTGACGATTATGTAATTCAGAAGATGGTTGATTTCTCTAGCATCACTCTATCCAATATAATACTCACCACCAGAAATCTTTGATAACCGTGTAAGGATGCAGCCAATGAATACTGCGCCAGGGTGGCATTTTCCATTCAACTTGCACAGAACTGTATGGTCCACGCATACTTTTTAACAATTTAAATGATCCTGAAGGTCCGTATCTTCTTTAAAAAGAACATTCCAGAACTCTGGCTGTGACCAGTCTATCGTTTTCCTTAAAATACATTTTATTTTTCCACTTGACCACATAAGAACATATATGTTTTATTTAGAGGTAAAATGTTACATTAAGGTCATATGGCAGGATTAGCATATGCTATTATACAGTCTTCTTCGTTTTTCATCCTTTATTAACAGTCATCTTTGGCTCTATTTCTCCTCTAATTGGAACATCATCTAGCCTTGGCAGTTGAACTATTCAATAGAACAATTAAATTTTTCTGACTGCTCTGAGCGGAATTGACCTGTTTTGACCTGTTTGTCACTGATCGTAACCTGACAGGCGCTAGCAGCCTGCAACGATTACAGGTTTGGGAGATGAATCTGACGTCCCGCTCTTTCGCTGCAGCTCATCACATGAGGAGCCCGGAGCGTCTCACACGCTCTATGGCCATGGCGTCTGCAAATGGCCAGGCTGTGAAAGCATTTGTGAAGACTTTGGACAGTTTTTAAAGTAGGTTTTTGACTTTTTTGAGGGTCGGGGGGCAGGGATGCATGAGAATCTTGGGCATGCTGTTGTAAGTGGACGAGACGGAGAAGGAGAAACAAGTCCACCCTGAAACCTCCTATGGGCTGTCATTGTGCCTTCAACAAGTAGATGAGCGAAGTTGGGCTTCCAAAGAGAACTCTTCATCTTCCTCTGTTCTTGAAAGTATTTTACAGATCATTCAATAAGGATATTTGAGTGGATGAAAATTATTAGCCACTATAATAGTGTCATTAATCATTGGGAGACATGTTTATAAGATATGTTCAACTGCAAATATTTCTTATAAAAATTTCAGGTAATATTTATATATATGGTGGTTTCCAAAGAGTTTGTGGAAATAGTCCATTATCTGTTCATTCAGTTTGCCACAATCATTTAAAACCTGAACTATATATCAGACATACAGACGAAAGCAAGCTGGGCACAAGTTACTAACCTCCAATTTATCTACAGCCCATAGTTACCAACTAATGCTGTAAAGTCTTTTATATTAAAACTTTGAAGCACTTACGCTGTACCCGACACTACTTTATGACATGCATCAAAGTATTATTACCAGTATTGCTGTCCTACTGTGTTTAAAATGTTTGCGGGTATCGAGAAGTGATTCTTTAATGTTTTTATGCATAGGAAGGTACACTATACATTATACACAATGACGAAAATCAGACTGGCACTAGATACAAACTGTAACTAACTGCTCTGATTCCAGATTAGACAGGAAACAGAATTTATTTGTAATCCAGGAGCTTCCCATCTATGTGGCGTCGTGTAGTTCACATGTTTTTGTTTTTTTATTGCAAATTGTATAACTTAGGTTAAACAGAAGGTGGTTAAGCATTGGCTGCTAGCTGAAAGGTTAGCAGGTTGAGCCCACCAGCTCTGTGGAAAAAAGATGTGGCAGTTGGCTTCCATAAAGATGTGCAGAATTGGAAATTCTATTGAGCTGTTCCACTCTGTTGTGTAGGTTTGACATCAGTCAAGAATCTACCCAATGGCAGTCGATTGGAATTTTCAACAATTATAGTCCCTGAATATCAATAAATTCAAGGAGGCTTCAAAAAGTTTGCACAAAATCCATGATCTCTTCATCCACTCTTTTCATGAACTTTTGAAATCCTCTCAGAAGGACAATTATTCCTTAATGAAGCTTCATATACCCATTTTTAATATATATTTAACAACAGAATAGGAAAAATGCAAGTCAATAGTGGCTAATATTTAAAAAATAAATATATTTCATTCATGTAGAATGTTCTAGCCAAATATTAGCCAAATATTGCCAGTGTTAGCCAAATCGTATAGATTCATGACCCTGAGGAATCATAAAGAAATAGTATTTGTGTAAAACATTGCATAGTTTATTTAGCAAAAAATCACAACTTGGTTTCTGCTTATTTTTGTGATTTTCAATATTTCAATATTTCAGTGAGCATTCAATATTACCATTTCAATCCATAAGCGTGCTTTTTCAAATGAGGACATGACTGATGAAACATCGTCCATGCACAATTCTGGTATACCAGAGATCTAAACAGAGGGCTACAGATAGGTTTATGGAGATGGCTCACTCCACAGACTGCCGCTCCTGTGTTGTCATGGTGCAGCTAACAGGGTGAATGAACTGCTTCATGCTTCATCAACAATTAAGTTAATTAGCTCATTTGAAATTGCACTGCTTTGTTGCCAGCATGTTGGCAGAAACATCAGAAAGATGTGTTTACAAATGGTAGACGACAGGGTATGGAGCCAAAGCACCTCAACAAGACACAAGCACTTGGCATCATCATAACTTTATCCCGGGATTACAGCAAGAGTTTCACAGGGATTTTAACCCTTTCTCCTCTCTGACCAATTAAGAGCAAACTTGCTTCATATGAACACTACAGCTCTTTGGGAGTAGTCTGAAATGAACATATGTACATTTCTTATTATACCCAAACAGCGGGAAGCTGCCGTTTTGTTATGAATAAATTGACGATAGTAGTCTAAGTAAATTCAGTATTTAAAATGTTAGGTAACCATTATAGTTTCTGCAAGAAAAATAGGTGTTAAAACAATGATGAAGTATCAACCGAGACCAAACCAGATCGACTGCGGTCAAGTTCATTTCTAATCACAATGACCCTATATGCCTATCAGTTCTAATAATAGCAAAGTTTATGGATGTTTAAATATAGTCCTACTGATAGATTATATTCCTTTCTATGCTGTGTGTATTTAGAAAACGCTTGCTACCATGTCTTAAGTGTGGCAATATTAGCCATAGAATTATCTCTGCTATTGTACATTTTATTCCTTCAAGTTGTTGATTCTGAAATTTCTAAAAATTATCTTTAAGAAAACAGATGTATATTTTCTTCAATGTGATTTCCGTGATAGCATATGAGAAAGAGTTTTATGTATTTCAAGTAACTGCACATTTTTTTTGTTACCCACAAACACACAAGTATGAGTCCTCATTTTACCCTCCATAAGTCTTTTTTTCATTTCCCTGCTAGTGTTTTTTAAAAACAGGAGAATTTATAATTAAAAAAGCATTTCCTTTCAATTAAATATCAACTTGATTCCAAAGACTGACCATTTTTCCAACCCATTACCTTTAAAGGGCTGACAGAACTAATGACAGATCTTAGGCCTTTGTCTTTGTCCACTTTTGTTATGGAATGCTTGAAACTCTGTAATGCGAAGATCTGTGATAAATTCTGTTCACCGAGCTGGTGCCAGTATACTGCACTGAAATGAAATATTAATCAGACTTTTTTTCATACTGGTGTTATCTTTTTCTTAAAAATATGTGTAAAATTTGAAAATGCTGTGTTTTATTAAATGAATCCACTTCAATTACTCAGGGGGAAAACATTGTTGTTGTTTTTTTCAAGTGTCCATGTGAAAAGGTCAATAAACACATGACCGCCATGTACAGAAATGTCCTTTGAAAGGACCGTTTGCTTTAGTTTTGTAACAGCGAGAATTCAGAATTGCGAAGAACAAACAAAGGCAAGTCAGAAAGCTCTGAGAAGTTTTAACTCCTAGTTTCCTTGTTTATCCATTTGGTGTTCTTGGTTATGCACTATGCTGTTGGCCTCATGGTCAGCAGTTCTAAATCACCAGCAGCTCAGTGGCTCGCTATGAAACAGAATCAACTTAATAGCAATGAGTTTGTTTTTTAAGTTTGGCCATAGCCATGATTTATTATAAATATTTATGAGAAAATATTATCATGACATTTTTATTTCTAAGATAGACTAGAAATTGCACTGAGGACACCAGCTTTAATTTGGTATCAGCTATCATATCTACTGATTTGCTGGAAAGCTGTATGTTCCATTTTGGTTTATTTAGCCTACGCATGTTAAGTAACCAAGGAAGGCAGAACACGAGTCCCAACTGTCTTTTCTCCTAGGACACCCTAAAATACCACATATACTCGTATATAAGCTGACTTTTTCAGCACACTTTTAATGCAGTTTTTGTGGTACAATTAGGTGCCCTGGGTGATATTCGGGTCAGCTTATACTCTAGTATATATGGTGAATATATAAAATTACCCCCATTTTCACCTAGCACCAATTGAAAAGGCAACAGATAAAAGAGTTTCTTATGTAGTTTATGATAATGTGTCCTTGCATATGTATATTTAATATCCAATTGAAGCATTTTGTATTGAGTTGGGGAAACAAATGAGAACGAAGTAGCCACGGATGATTCTAACAGCAGACGTGAACACTGAGCAATACAGGATGGAGAAAGACATTGTGGCGAACAATGTGTTTGGGAAACGCCCCCCCCCCCCAACTTTACTGTAGAATAGCTCTTAACAGAAGCTAACCACTTTTCTGACAACTTT